GCAGACTTAAAGAGCAACAGACAAACCTGTTCGTACTGGTTTGTATTGTATCCCCTCTTTTCAGTATCATAAACTTTATCATCGTCTTGTTTTCAGCTTGGTAATCTGGAACGGAAGTGGCAGCATCACGAACAGAACAACTTTGTAATGAAGGAGTGTATCCTTTTATGTGTCTTGAACATTGTCACCCATAAAATAGGTGCAGGAAATCCGCGTGCTGTGATTGGTTTATATAATGATTATAGTTTTTATTACACCAAAGATACACCTTTGACGTTATAGATTTTGTATGGTTTTCGTTCTGAAACTTTTGGTGGGAAACAGGCTCCTTTATAATTGTCATGTGATTTTTAACTAGCCAATGAGAGCGCGTGGGGAGGGATTTCAGCTACCTAAACAAACTCTTTAAAGCACAAGCCTATGTTTAAGTTGTACGCGAGTCGTGCAGACATCGTACATTATCATGTTATATACCATGAAATAAAACAGTTTTTTGAAGTATAAAATCCTTAGCTTTGATTAGTTATCGCTCAAAAGAGTATGGAGAGCGACTATCGTCCCATGAAACAAAATGTGACCGAGCAGTTGGAGGATATTAACAAGCTTTTGATTCAGTCTCTCTCTAAATAACTCAGCGTAAACACACGGCTTACATGTTATAACTCAGCCTAGTTGGAGGATATTAACAAACTTTTGATTCAGTCTCTCGCTAAACAACTCAGTGTGAACACACGGTTTACATGTTATAACTCAGCTTGAACGCGTGCTTTGTACATTATTACTTAAAAAAACTTACATATTATTTAAAGAGTTGTACGTGTTGTGTCATGTTACTTTCGGCAGTTTTGTGGAGTCGAAAGCGTGTCTCACCTGTCATATTCAGTTGTATATATCGCATAACATCTCGTCATGAATGACTTTGGCAACGTTTATTAAACTTTCCTCACTCCTACAGCATAAAGCGTGTATTTATTTGTTATTGTTGTGGTTGTTTTCTTTTCTACAACTGCAATTAGGACTCTTCTGTTCTCTACAATTTGTATTTGTATCGTTTTTCAGTGGGTGAAATTCGCAGAAAGAGTTGTCTTGAATGTTAATGTTTGTCCCTTGCGTGTAACGGGACCTACCACCGGCTTATGGTTGCCATATACTGTGAGGTTGAAGTGGCAGCAGTTGTTACGGCATATATCATCATCATCATCATCATCATCATCATCATCATCATCATCATCATATACTTGGGCCGTAGTTAATCCGGGCCAGCAAAAAACTAATGTGCAAGCATTCACCCTTAAAACATGCTTGGCGTTCGGAATTCAATAATTGACTTACTTTATTATGAAAACAACATAATTTATGAGCCGGCAGCTACTTAGAGGCGCATAGCGCTGGTGCTTTAGAGTCCGTTTGAAGGTTTTTGGCAAAATTATAAACAACGCTCAGGAGATCAAGATTGTGACTAATGACTAGTAATGTGTCCGCGTTATGTTTGATTTTATTTGAAGGGTGCGGGGACAAAAATTGAATGCACATACAGGGCTAAGCCCCACCTGCTTTCAATTAAAATAAATACGTACGTGCCGAGTGTTTTTATTTTTCAATCAGTATTCATTTTTCAAATCCACCGAGAAATGATAATTGCGTGTACAGACCGCTTCCTAATTTGTTATGAGAAAAACAAAATTGGGAATCCTCGCCATTTTCACGTTTTAACTATGTGAGCATACATTCTACGAAAAAACATGTGATGCCACACACGAACCGCAGTTTATTTTCATTGTTATTTTAAATCTATTTTAGGCAATGAAAAAGACTTCATCATTTCATGCACGTGCTTTTAATTAATAAGCCTTTAATGAAGTTGCCGAGGGGCGTCCGTCAGACGCCTTGTTTTCCTCAAGAAATCACTAAAATACTTGCTTCTACGGGAAGAGGTGAGTTTTGCATCCTTTGCATTAATTTTAAAATTTGCTCCTTCACTCTTGATCTGCTATGTAGCCGGCAAATGTAAGAATTGCTACACTTCGAAACAGAGAAACAAATAACGTAACAATACAAAGCCGCAGTTAGAAACTAAAAAACTGCAAATCCCATAGCGGAAACATTGTTCGAAAATTTTTCACAAGAGAATGGGATTAAATCGTCCTCAACATAGCCGCCTTTTTATACGTTAATCATTGGGAGCTTAGTTTTGTTCTTAATATTAAATCTATTTGTTTATCTGCCATTTTTAATCTTAAATTATTGTACAACGCATAAATACTTATTTTAATATTAGCTATTATTTATTTTTAATGAAGTATTGGTTATTTTTTAAGATATCTTCTAAGATAAGACTATTACAATGGTTTTAATTGAAAAAGACGATTGACACCTTAAAGAGGCGATAACGTAATAGCTATATCTATAATTATACCATTTCGAGGCTATATTGCTTTTATCGAGTGCACAACATTAAATGAACATCAACTGTGGTCTGTGTTAAAGACGATTTACACCAACCAATTAGAAAAGCGAGTAGCCAGAGGGTCCTGCCGACTTCATATTCGGTAGAAACACTGAATTCTTACATGAACGCTGCTTACTTTGCACCAACCTTTTAAATATTGCTGGTACTAACCAAATTTTTCCACGAATTATTAGCTTCCTCTTGAACACCTCGAGGAGACACAACATCATGGTAAGTCTCCACGACAGTGTGGTAAGCTTCAAGTATGTAGATAAGCAAAGTTATGTTTAGTGTTTTTCTCCTCTGTCGAATGCGTTTCATGATACATCCCTCGCCATGGTTTTAACTTTTGATTCTGTGGTCGTTAAAAGGTAACTAGGGTTTAGTTCTGCTTGCTAAAGATTGTTTATTACAGGTGATTTTGTCGTTAAGTTTTGGATGTACGCTTTACAAGAACAACTTTCCGTGCATATGGAAATGAAACACCCGTTTTGTGGGGTAGCAGAAAAAAGCGTTTCACGTTCAAAAACGTAACAGGGATATTATGTCATATTTCTAATCCGCTGATTTTGTTTTTTACTATTTTCTCAACTGTCCAGATAGAATTACGTTTTAGACCATCAGACACAATAAATAATAAAAAACATTCTCATTCTAGAAGAATTGCGTTTATTGGAAGTGAATCCTTGAATGCGAATATTAAAATTCAACGTGTTTAATTTGATCGATTCACTGCTTGTAACAACCAAATTACTCACTACCCTATGATAAGACGTGTTCACGGCCTACCTCACCCAATATAAATTAATACATATGCGATGTTAGATAAAATATTTTATTTTTTTCCCTGCCTAGTTAATGCTAATTTTGTCATGTTTCAGAGATCAACGGAACTGTGACGAACTGCCAATCAAAATCGAAAGCAGATGTAAAAAATCAAACTCTAAATTCGTCGTTATTGTGTTTTTTTTATTACTTTAACAACAAACCATTACTGATTATAACTTCGCTTTGCGTGGTACTCAGAGAGTTAAAAGTTAATTTTCTTCCTCTTTCTCACTCTATCTCTCTTTCCTTTTGCCTTAAGCGCTTAAAAAACTAAGTTGCCGATTGCTATGAACAGCTGCCTGCGTAAATGGAATATGATTATTTTTCGAACGATTATATGGTCTCGATGCGACGGAAATTACCAAAGAAAAAAACGCATTTTCGTTATAACGCATTCAATAAGCTTACAATTAGGGCACAGGATGGCGGCCATAAACAATAATGTCACTTGTTTTTGTTTTGTTTTGTTTTGTTTTGTTTTGTTTTTCGTCTTCTTTTTTATTGCACGCTTTTGAGTATAACATGTCCTACTTACTATATTTAGGTATAATATAAGATGCGAATGTAAGTGTTAATTTAAAATTTCAAGACCAGTCAACCAAAATATTATAATGAAACAGCATACAGAATGAAACATTCAGTAACAGAAAATTGCCATTTGATCATTTCACGCACAGCAATAACGGATCCCTGCCAAATGTGTATTTGATTAAAACCATGTGCATATTAATTAGCTAATTAACTTAAACAGGGTGGATTTCCACTGTCAGGTCAGAATGTTTATGCGCGTACGCGCAAAAAAGTTTTATACGTAAACAGAGGCCATGTGTGCGGTAAGGTCGCGCGCAAACGTAAAAGTTGACCGAGCAACCTTAAATAAATCGTTGAATGCGTGAAAAAAGTAAACCATAGTAATTCTAGTTGCCTTAGATTTTAAAACTTCTTTTGTGTGATTCCATGAATGCTCATTCTTGACCATACTTTTCTGTATTATTAACACAAAAGTAAGCTTGGTGTAAGTGATCTTTATATCTGCTTCAAGTGAGGTTAGGATTCATCTCAATATTATCTTGGTTTGTATGAAATAATAGCCGTTGACGTGAGAGAGCTGGCGCAATGTCGTATCAAAACTAAATCAACCTCAGCGGGCATTTTAGTAGCCTCCCACGCTGACGCAGGAACGCGTGTCAACCCCTAAGATCGTCTGCGTGGGAGGCTAGCTTTATAGTGGAATCTTATGCGCCATGTAGTCCCCTTTGCTCTTCTATAAAGAATAGTATGTTTTACCCCCGATCGGGGCATCACAAGATAGAATTTCCCATCACCACCCTTTGCGCTCGGTACATAAGTGCGTTTTGCAAAATTTTAGCCACATTAAATTTCTGTCTTTCGCACGTTTTCGCGTCGCAAAAATGTTTCATTCTCTCCGCCTCAAGATGCAGAAGGCTTTCGCGCTGTCTGCCAAACTTGTCCAGTTTTATGGTGCTGTTTCTGGCCATTCCAGCTCCTTGAGTCTGTCTTTACCCTTTCTCTCTCGGAAGTCCTCCTCCAGGTCGTCATCGATCTTCCGGTCGCTTCCAACGTAGCGTTAATACATAATCGCGATGGTTCTTAAACAAAGTATATTACTTGCATTTAGGCAGATGATGACTAACTGATACTGGGTAATTTTATAGCAGCCATTATTATTTTTGTACATAACTAACGTAATACACCTTTTATTCAGGAGAGGCTTTCTGATGAACAAATTGAAGGTAATGTCAGTAGCAGTAAGCCGGCCCCAGCCCTCTCCCTTCCTTTATCTCATATGAGCCCTGGACAACGAGTTAGATTATCAGGTTATGTACAAGTTGCTGGTTTGTACATGACGTCATGGCGGCCATGTTGATGGTCAAGAACAAAAGCATTTCTTTCCTCTGGGAACTAAACTCTATTTTCATATAAATTTTTTGAGAAAAAATTCTACTGTATTGACCCCCAACATGGGCACCTTGTCACGTGGTTGCAAACCAAGAATACGTCCTTTTCGTCAAATGAACTCTCAGCCAATCAAAGCAGTGAAGAAATTCGAAGAGTGGAGTATAAGATCAGTGAAGTTTTTAAGATTTCATCAAGATAATATTAAGAAAGGATTTAACAGGGATTAGGCAGAGATAAGTCACGATTGGGAAAATAGTTTTAAGTGTGTGAAAGTCTGCCTTGAGGTCGTTTGTACTGTCATGATGCCAATAAACATTTGCCATTCACTTAGAATACAAGGACGCCTTCTCGTTGTTCGATCGAGATCAGAATGGCATTATCACAACGCGAGAACTTGGTGCCATAATGAGATCCTTGGGATTCAACCCGACTGAAGAGGAATTACAGACGATGATCAACGAGGTCGATTATGATGGTGAGTGAAGGGTCAGGTCTTTAACTATACCAATCCCCCTTTCTTCCTTTTCTACAAATACTTTACGAGTGGTATTCGTTAGTAATGGCTCAGCACGGAGCAACTGTCTTAATAAGAAAATCCAACTTCGTCCAAGACAACCTTTTTATATCTTAACTGTCATTCGCTCAAGTTGGTAAACTCGATCTCTTTAAAATAAAATCTCTCATGCGGTGTTGGCAGATCTAATCTGAAAAAAGATCTTACTCGTGTTTCACTTTCAGTTCCGCGTACGAGGGGAATTTTTTAGTCATAGTAAGGCTTCGATATTCTAAATCGGGAATGTGGTTTTGTCTCGATTATTAAACCGCACCTATACTCTGAGGAAGAGGTATAAACAGGAGCATGGCATGATTACTTGAAGATAATGTTCATTAGTTTAACTTTTTGTATCAGGAAACGGAGTGATTGACTTTCCCGAGTTTGTGAAATTGATGGAAGATCAAAAGAAACCAGACGAACGAGAAGCCGACATGATGTTGGCGTTCAGAGTGTTCGACGCCGACAACAAGGGGTACATCGAGTCAGCGGAGTTACGCTACATTATACTAAATATGGACAAAAGAATACCACGTGACGAGCTTGACGAGCTTATAGCAATTGCTGACTTAGAAAGAGACCGAAAAATAAGCTATCAAGGTAGGGGAGCTTAATAATCTTATAATTATTCATAATGTTTTTAAACTAGCACCTCATACATTCAAACTTTGCCTCTAGTTCACAGCGTCACAGTTTCGCCTTAAATCTGACGTGCCATTCGCCTTTAACCATTCGCGGACATTTTTGATCGCCGTCAAAATGCTGAGAAGGCCTGAGCACTAGTCATTATCATTACGCCTCCACAAAGATGTTCGCCTTAAATCTCTTGTACACAGTAATATTTGTTTTTAATTTTTATGGTTTTTAACTTTTAGAATTTGATTTAAGGGACTACTGGTAACCAGACAGGTAGTTAGTGTTGACTGGTTCTTTCAACGGTTATACTGAAACCAAACTAAATCGTGATTGGTTGACGCGTGTTTTTCTCCCGCTCAAACAAGGGAGTGTGCACCTGTTTTGAGATGTGACTGGCTCATTTAATAGCCAGCACGTATTGTGCTTGACCAGATATTACTCTTGGTTTTAGTTCCCAACGGTCAATAGAAAACCTTTATTTCTAACCAAATATGGTGAACACCCTTGAAGGTATTGGATCCCAAACACACTGTAAACTACAAAAAAAAGGGTGGCAGTTGGCAGCCTGCAAATAAACTTTGTATATTCCTCTTTCCTCACTCTCATGATAATATTTGCAGAATTCCTTGATCTGGTAGAGAACCATAGTGGAATTTTCACCTGATTAAATTACAAGACATCGCCCGCTTTACAAAGCCTACTGATGGCATACACAAATACTGCGTCAAGCCTAGAACCGAACAAGACAATTGGTTGTATATAACGATTTCATGCTTCCGATACAAAGAGCGACTTTTTCACCCAAAAAAGACACTCTAATGATGTCTTACTTCAAGTCTAAAGTAATGAAAATCGCCCGCTGACTAGCTCACGGATCCATGACGTGTGGTCCTAGCCAATTGCTGCGATGTCTACCTGAGTGTGTAACTAATGCATAGTATCAAACTGCGTGAAAAAGTATGGGGTGCTACTGGACTAAGGCATTGATAACATTGTCATTCAGAAATCGCTGTTTCTGGTTAATCTTAAGAAGTTTAGCCCGGTGCCATACATACTGACGTTGTGAAAATACAGCGTTTAGAGGTTCTAGTACTCAGAAGAAGTATATTCAGGAAATTCTATTAATTTACTCCGCTCACGCCAAGAAATTCGTTTGCTTCTCAACGCATCTGCTGCATCGTTTTCTGGAACTGACTGGTTCGGCCTAGGAAGCACTGTGCGATGCATCTTGGGAAGGATGAGAAGTGCTAAGCGAGCCCACTGTAGAGACAATATCCACGCAAATCGCATAATAAAATGAGCGAGGTCATGCGCCGTAGAGAGAAGTGTTAAGTTAACCGTATAACTGGACTAAAAAAAGTGTTTCAAAACAATCTACACAGCCGCTGCTGATCAAAATACTTTTTGAATTTGATCGCTTTTTTAAGCTTTAAAATGTCGTAAACAGTCGAATTCATTTCAATACATGCTAGAGGGGAGATATATTCGGGGGTAGGAGCTTATAGCCGGATGTATTTTTTTGTTTACGGGTAGATGGGCCTATAAATGGGGGGAGGATTATAAGTAGCGGGGGAGGGGGTATAATCGGAAGTTTACGGTATCCCATATTAAGATTTACCGCGTTAGAATCTCCAAATGTGAAGATTGGATCTCCCTATTTCTGACTCTAGAAAAGATGACTTCCGTAATCGTTGTTTTCACTTTCTTTCTCATAGTCCAAGTAATTTTCATGACAAGAAACAACCATAACAGAGTTTGATTTATTAAGAAGCTGAAAAAAAAAATACAGGCAAGTAAAAATACCCGACAACTTCAGCTGCCTTAGATTTACTTGTTGTACAAATATCTACACTTTTTAGTAACAACAAATGCTCCAAAAAACGTAATAAATATTTAATTTATAACTTCGTGAGTGAACTTTCTTCAGAAGCACTTTCTTCGGAAGAACTTTCTTCAGAATAAATAATATTGTCTCTTGAGCTGTGCCAGCTCCGTCTGTCGCCATGGTAATAGCGGCCTCTTTTTCTGCTGAAGATGAGTGGAACAAGGAGAGCGGAGAACTCTGGGTAATGGAACGAAAAAAAATGTCTCGTGGTAAGTTTATCTCAGAGGATGCGTAGTAGAGTGGATGGTAAGCATGAGGAAATGGTGGCAAGAGACTTTTTAGCTTATTTGTTTTTTTTTTCCATTTTAGACCACGTGATGATACCCCAGAGAACACTTTCTATTAAATGTCGTCCCATCCACGTACATACGCAGGGGCGGATCCAGGATTTTTTTTAGGAGGGAGTGCACTCGCCTCTTCCTCTACTTCAACACCAATAAACCACATAGTTTTTGGCAGAATACTAGTTGTATTAGAAAACCGCAGGTCATCTCAGGGGGGGGGCGCACCCCCTGCACCCTCCCCCTAGATCCGCCCCTGATATGTATGCATAATTTTATATGAAAGGTCAAAAGGCGAATTCCCTGAATTCATCTGCAGCTATCTGATAGTTCTTAAGCTACAACTCGAGTAAAACCTTTAAAACCCTTTTTAATGGATTAAGCATTTCATTCACTTACGCTCTGAAAATAAAGGATCAGCAAAACATTAGTTCTGGTTAAACAAAATATCCTAACCTTCCAAAGCAAATTTTCTATCATCTGTGATTCTTGCGTTTTGTATTATGTCTTCTATTTCATCTGGTGGAACATCGACTAAACTTTGCAATGATCTTTTGATGTGTCCTCCGTCAATATATCCATTATTTTCAGGATCGAAGACGCCAAAAATCATGAACAAGTTTTCGTCTTCTTCGATGCTGTTTTCGTCCTCAATTATAGTAACAAATTCGTCAAAATTAATAGTACCATCACCTGTCGTTTAAACAAAAATTATTGTAGGATAAGTGCAGAACAAAATCGTAAAAGAGATGTACGTCTTGCGGATTGCGATCTTTTTCTTTACTGATGTAAGGTGGATAATTCTGGAATGAATTACAGAATTATGTTGAGGGGGAAGGGTTATATAGTTAAGTTAATCCTTCTATACATAGTTTGTCACCTCACGTTAAACTTCAAACACTAGTCTTGGTGTTTCATAGCTTGTAAAAAACATGAAGAAAAAAAATGAAAAACACGAAACCATAGCTTTGAGATTTTTAACACTGTGATGAAGCACTGTGACCCGTGTTTCAAATAACTTCTTAAAGTGATTTTGAAGGAAGAGTTAAGGATTTGAGTCACGTATTGGCTAACTTTGTCTGGCTTTTAAACTTAGCTTGAGAACGTTATTATAGGGCGTTTAGTGGTTCCAATCCCGTCACACGGTCAAACAGCACTGCGCTGTCGTATCTTACCATCAAAATCCTTGGCATTCACCAACTGCTGTATCTGAGTATCTGTTGGGTTTGATCCGAGCATGCGCATAGCATACTTAAGTTCCTTAGTTGACAGTGTTCCATTTTCATTGAGATCAAAACATTTGAAAGCTTCGCGATATTCTAAAAGAAAACAAAATAAGTCTGAATCAAGAACTTAGTCATGTATTTAGTGAGTTGAGAACTGTTCATTAATGACAGTATTCCAGAGCAGGACTCCTGATGACAGTAATCGACGTTTTGTCAAAGTGAATGAAGACCCCAGAGTTAAAAACTTTGATTAAGATTTAACCATCAAATCCAATGGCTAAACGTATCCAACCAAATATTCTTTTGGCAAATACGTAATACTCCTTTATCCAAATATTTGAACCCTGTAGACAATGGACATTTCTCGATATTACTGACATTTTTCAGGATATAGTTATTATGGAATTCCCATAAATTTGGTATTTTCAACGTATTTTTCTTATTTAATGGCGACATGGACCACACAATGAAGCGTTGGATACTTAGCAGCAAGCAGGCTATCCAAGTTTCCATGTTGTCCCTGACGAAATGCGAGCGAATGTAACAAAAGGCAAGAATTTGTAACGATCTTGTAAAGGACAAGATATATAATGGACGCGTGTGGTTTAAGGAAATTAAAAAAAAAACAAGAAAATGTATTTGTTGAATGAAACAGGCGATAAAACAATTGAAATTCCTTAAGCATATTCACTGAAATGTGGCTTGAGACCAGTCAGGTTGTGCGATGTTTACCCGTCAATACAAAAAATAGTAGGGGTCTGTAACTGTGCATCTTAAACTATACACAGCGTGAAATCGTTGAAAAATAGACCAAAATTACTTCAAAAATAATGGAAAATATTCAGAAAAACTATACATTTTCCGTTACCTCCAAGTTGTTCTCGAGTCAAGGTATCCTACGAGAGGAGAAAATGAGTAAATGAAAAGTGGTAAAAAACTACATATAATTCTATTCGAATCCCTTTGTAGCTTGGTTAATTTGAATAAGGATGAGCTAAAAATTGTTACAAACACTAAGATAAGTAGCTTATTTTTGCTACATGTTGATCTATCCAAAAGGTTATTTTTGTGCAAAAGAAACGTGTTAGTTTTTTTGCAGTTATTGACTTTTATAACGTCGAAGCTTTTTCGTGAATGTATTGTAAATAACGATAGAAAATACCCGAGCTGATTGGGCGAAAAGGCCCGTTGCTATTTTCTGGAAATAAAGCTGTCACTGAAACATCAATTATTAATTACGGTCGCAGTATTTTAATGTTTTTATTCCAAAGCACAGTTTGATAATAAATCGAGGCAGTTTTTGTAGCTAGAAGATTATCCTTTATAGTGAGCGTTTATTTATATGACATTTTTACGACCCAAAAAAAATATTTAGAATCTCAAAACATAAGGATTTTGATCGATTCATTCACTGACAAGGAACTTTAAATATTTTAATTTTCGATTTGCTGTGCACAGAATTTGATGTAATGAATTCTATGCATTTTAATCTGCCTTAATTATGGATTTTGTATTCCGGGTAAATTAGATCTTGTTAACATGAACACATTCAAAGAAATGTTAGAGCATTTTTAGAAGACTGTGAA